AGGATATCTGGCGTCCGGTACCATCCTGTTAGAATTTTGTAGTTGCATTCTTGGAACTTGGAGCTGATGGTCCCCCTGTGTGTTAGTTGAAAGATTTTAAGCCATTCCTTTTCCGTAAGTTCCATCCCGGTCTCTCTTTCCCATCGCGATGTGAAGCCTAGGGGGCTCTTATCACCGTCGCTTAGCAGCGCGGTATAAAGGTGTGAAACTCCATGTGAGAGATGTTGTCTGGCCGTGCATAGATGTTCCATCATCAGCAATGGGCGGTGTAGGTGGCCTTTACACGCAATGCCGTCGAGGTATGTTTTCACTTGGTGATATCGGAATGTGTCTAGGCCACTGGGCCTACGGTCCTGCATCAGCGTTGCCAGGGGTTTGAGCGTCGTCCCGGAATTCCATTGGCTAGCGTATACCCAGTCCGTTGCTCCGAGATTTTTCAGGTCTGCCGTGCTTAGCCCTCCCGCTAACCTCGGATTGTGTGTTATTGGTGTGAGTGGGTTGGGCGATGACGTGAGGTTTTTGGAGTAACGTATCCTACACCACACCTTCAGCGTGGCGTCGATCATTGGGTTCCCGGTAAGTAGTTCCTTGGGTAGTGCGTCTCCCAGCCATAGCATAGCGGGGATTCGTCCCTGGGCTTGGTGTTTCTCCAGGTCTACCCATTGCTTTGTACTGGGGTTTGCATGCCAATCAACCAGTCTGTGCAGATGGGTAGCGTGGTAATACGTGAGGATGGACGGCAATCCCATACCTCCTTCTCCTCTAGGGCGTTCAAGAATCGCTCTTCGGATACGCGCTGGTTTTTGGTTCCAGACGAAGTTCCTGACTGCGGTCGTCAGGGTCTGAAAAAATGCCCTCGGGAGGTACGTTGGTAGTGTCTGGAACAGGTATAATAATCTGGGCATAATGTTCATCTTCATGGCACTGATGCGCCCAAACCATGAGATGTATAGAGGTGTCCAGCGTTTCATGTCTTGCTGTAGGGTGGTGAGCAGGGGCGCAAAGTTCAGTCGGTAGATAAGTGTCAAATCTCTCGGGAGCCACACCCCAAGGTAGTGTAGCTTGGCTGTGGAGATCTTGAAGGGGAATTGTGCTTGGATGTGTCGTTGGAGGATGTTGTCCTGTGCGAGCAGCAATATCTCTGACTTATCTAGATTAAGCGTCAAGCCGGATACCTCCTTGTATTGTCGAAACGCCTCCAGGAGATGTGGGAGGGAGGTTCTGGGTTGCTCCAGGAAGAAGAGCATGTCGTCAGCGTAAGCCGCTACCCGGTGTTCTCTTCCTCCTATGCTGCACCCCGTGATACCCCTGTCCTGTCTGACCGCCTCCAAGAAGGGCTCCAGGGTGAGGGCAAACAGGAGTGGGGACAGGGGGCAACCCTGTCTCGTGCCGTTATGTATATCAAACGAGTCAGTCAGTGCTCCGTTTATTCTTATGCGGGCTGTGGGCGAGGTGTATAAAGCCGTTATCCAGGTCCGCAGGTGTGGACCGTATCCCAAATGTCGTAGGGTTTCCGACATATAGACCCAGTCCACCCTGTCAAACGCTTTTTCAGCGTCAGTGGATAGTAGGACCATTTCCTTTTTGCCCGTTTTAGCGGTATGGATGGTGTTGAGGGCTCGAATAGTGTTATCTCTGGCTTCTCTTCCGGGGATAAACCCCACTTGGTCCGGGTGCACCAGATCCGGGAGCGTTCGGGCCATCCTGAGTGCCAGTGCCTTAGCGAAGAGTTTGATGTCCGCGTTTATCAGAGAGATGGGCCTGTAGCTGGCGCAGCTTGTTGGGTCTTTCCCCTCTTTGGGTATTATTGCCACGGTTGCTCCCAGGGTGTCCCTGTGGAATTGGCCTCCATCTCTGATTGAGTTGATGCCTATCAGAAGTTTGGGCAGCAGGGTGTCTTTGAAGGAGCGTAGGTACGAGACTGGTAGACCGTCTGGGCCCGGGGCCCTGTGTGCTTTAGTTGATTTCTATGCGCCAGATAGTTCCTCAATCGTCAAGGGCATTTCGAGTTCCGCCTCCTGGTCCGGGGTAAGCTGGCGGGTGATGTGGTTCTGAAGGTATGTGGTTATCCGATCTCGATGGCTACCTATGTCTCTGTCGTGGTGGAGTCGTGGTTGGTTATATAACGCCGCGTAGTATTCCCGGAACGCTGACAGTATGCCGTCCGGGAGGCAGGTTGTGTCTCCACTGCTCGTGCGTATCTTGTGAACGTGTTGCGCTTTCCTTCTGTCTTGTAGCATCCTAGCTAGCAACCTACCACTTTTGTTCGAGTGTTCATAGTAGTACCTGGAGGCCTTCCTCGCGGTGTGTAAGAGTCCTTGTGATAGTATGGCTTTCAGCTCCCTTCGTGCTTCCGTCAGGCGGAGGTATGTGCTGTCTGCGAGGTCCGTCTTGTGTTCCCCTTCTAGGTCAGCTATCCGGTCTAGCAGTGTTGTGATACGTCGTGTTCGTTCCTTCTTACGTTTGGTGCCTATGGCGATGAAATGTCCCCGTATGACGCATTTGTGAGCTTCCCATATCGTTAACGGTGGCGTCTCCGTATCTTCGTTGGTAGTAAAGTATTCAGTTAAGGTTTGGGCAGTCACCCTCTTACATTCTGCATCGTCCAGTAGGGATTCATTCAGTTTCCAGTGTCTTTCGCGGGGTTTATATAGTGGGGAGCTCGTGCGGATCGTCAGTGGTGCATGGTCTGTGTGGTCCATTATGCCTATTCGTGCGTCGTGGAGGAGGTTGAGGTATTCCTGGGCCAGGAATATATAGTCTATGCGACAGTAATTTTTATGGACTGTCGAATAATGGGTGTAGTCCCTACCTTCAGGGTTACATGCCCTCCAACAATCCACCAGGCCGTGTTTATGTATAGCTCGTAGTGCTGCTCGTATGCAGTGTGCCGGGATCGCGGTTTGTCCTCTGGAGGTGTCCGTGCGGGGGTCCAGTGGTAAGTTGAGGTCACCTGCCATGACCAAGAGGCCGTCTCTGAATTTCTCCAGTTTGGCTAGCGTCCGGGCCAGGAATGTATGCTGCTTTCTATTCGGGCCGTAGAGGCATGCGAAGGTATACGTGTGTTCCATGATTGTACCCTTAATGAAAAGGAATCTGCCGTTCGGGTCCGCCTGCGTTGCTATATGTTGGAACGGCGTCGTCTGTGCAAAGAGTATTGCCACACCAGCCCTCTTAGCGTCCGGGTGGTTCGCGTAGAATCCCTGCGGGTAGCGTCTGTTCTCTAGTTTGGGGGCGTCCAGTCCTCGGAGATGAGTCTCCTGCAGGAACGCCACTGAGGCTCTCACGGCCCATAGGCGCCTTACCAGGTGCGCGCGCTTTTCAGGTGTGTTAAGCCCCTGAACATTATTGGACCAGTATGTCAGTTGGGCCGGGACAAATCCTCGCGAGGCGTCCATCCCGGCGGCAGGGCGGCGTCCCCGCAGCGTTGTCTGTATGTGTAAAGGTGGTGAGTGTGGGGGGGGTCTGTCTGTCTGTGGTGGTGATGTGAACGGTCTGGCGTGTCTTCTAGGTGTGCGGGTGTGACTCTGACCCTGTACCGGGTGTATTCGTTCTCGAGCCTGGTGGGTAACCTCAGCGACGAGAACGCCGGTGTAATGTACAGTGTGGGTCTGTCTCAGTGGGGGTTCCGTATGGTCACTTACAGTGAAGTCGGTCTCGGATCTGAGTGAAGTTGGTTCTCTCCCTTCTCCATCGGCACCCAACCTGTAAGGGTGTGTGCAATCGCCATGTTTGCCTACTCTAGCCTTGGGGTCCGCAATAGTCGCCCGGGACTTAGAGTGTCGGTCGGGCTGTGGTGTCCTGTACCGCAGTCCCAAGGTCTGGGAGCGGATAAGCCTACCGGTCCAGTCGGCATTATGGTCAGTGGTACCCGTGGGTCCCCCCGTCACGGTCGGCTCTCCTGGCGTCCCGGTCCTAGTGGCCGGGTGTTGTCAGGGGATTCGACTGGTTTTGTCTGCCGGACACCCCGGGGCCCTCCGTGTCTGCCCTCTCCCGCCTGGCAACTTACAGTTCGTTGGCTACAAGTCAGCGTGTCTAGGGTGTTAGGGCGCTGTTTGGGGGTAGTCAGTCCTACATGTGTTGGGCTGCATTGTGAGGCCACCCTATGGGCGTGGCTCGCCAGCTCCCACGTTTGCGTCCCTTCAGAGGGGCTGGTTTGGGACGTGGTCTCTCCCTGCGCCCAGAATTTCCGTCATGATAGTTATCTGCGTGCCTGGGCTTTCGTAGTGGGGTGTACCAACATGGCGTCTTGCTTGTCTCAGTGAGGCAGATTGTGCGTGGTTGTCCCCTCATGTGAGTGGCTGTGATGTGTGTTGGGTGATATAAACGGAACCGTGTATAACTAAACAACATGAACAAGAAGTGCCCCGCTTTGTCCCAGCCCCCCTCCCAGCTCTAGCCCTGTGTGCCCGCCTGTCCCGTAGCCCTCACCCTCCCGCATCCCTCCCTCAGCTCTGTTCCGTGAGCAGCGGTGTGCTAGAGCAGCCTGTTCAGTTCAGCAGTCTTGACCCAGGGTGTGACCCGGGTGATGGTGTCGGTGTCCAGACCCTTTGCACCCTGCCCATCATCCCCTCCCCACCTACGGGGTATGTCCCCCTTTTTGCCCCGGGTGTGTGGGTTTGCTGATGGGGCCCTAGCTCCCGGCCGCTCCCCGAAAGTGGCTTCAGTTCCCTCCCCACCTGTCTGCGGCCTTCCTCCCTGTCTACTAGCTAATGCAAGCTGGCAGCGGACTTAAAAGTACATACCCCTGCCGTGGTGTCATCGGATCTGCATGGCGTCCATAATCAAAGCTGAGGTAAGCTCGGGAGGCAATGCCCTGATCTGGCATGGGATGTCCCATGGGGGGCCACTGGTCCGTGCGGCGTGGGGGCCTCTATTCCTCGGGGCCTATTGGGCCGCCTCTGCGTCTTGGTGGTCCAGGCTCCAGGTGGATGTTGTGAGCCACTTCAGATGGGCCTGTGGCTCGCGCCGGGGGTTCCTCCAGGATCCAGTTTGGCACTGAGATAGCAGGTAAGTTGGCGGTTCTTAAAAACCGTGGCACGTCGTTCGGCCAGCGGATGATGTGCCATATGTTTCCCATCCGGGCCTGCAGGCTAAATGGAAATCCCCATTTGTATGGAATTCGTCGCTCCTGAAGTGCTCGGGTGAGAGGCCGCAGGGCCCTGCGGGCATCTAGAGTGATGGTAGATAAGTCCTGGTAAAGGGATATTTGTGCTTCCATGTAAGTGATGTGCTGCTGTGCACGTGCTGCCCGCATTATAGATTCTTTTAGCGGGAATGACAGGAGGGCGCAAATCATGTCTCTTGGCTGCCCGTCTCTCCTGGGGGCGCGGAGTGCCCTGTGGGCCCTTTCGATGCCGAAGTCGCCAGGAGCTGCATCTCCTAGTAGTTGCGCAAATAGGCCATTCAGGATCTCCTGCGGTACCTCGTCCTCGGATTCAGGCAGGCCTCTGACTCTGATGTTGTTACGCCGGCCGCGGTTATCGAGATCCTCAACCTGCCGGCGGAGGTCCAGGAGGATGTTGCCCTGCCTCGTGGTTGCCAGTTCCGCTGCCTGTCTGTGCTGCTGGGATTGTATGCGCTCCTCTTCCAGCCTGTCTACTCGCTGCTCCAGCGCCGTGAGGTCGGTGCGCACTGCCGCTATTTCCTCCCTTATTATGGCCCTCAGCTCAGCTACCATTTCACCTTTATCCTTCCGGGTCATCATGCTCGCGGAGATCACGGCGAGGTCCGCGGATATTTGGGACAGGGTGCCAGGGGTGCTGGATTCCCGCGCCGAGCCCGCTATGCTGGAGCCCGGGGAATCGAGGGCCGGTGTTCCGGTCTCGCCCGTGTCGCGGAGGCCATGCGGCGTGGCCAGGAACTCGTCCATCGGGCCGGCTGGCGGTCGGGAAGGGGCCGGAGTGACCTGGGCTGCGGTAGGTAGCCGTCGATTTTTCCCCCCCATGGAGGTGCGCTTTCTGCGGCGTTGCTGTGCTGGTTAATCGGGGCAAATCAGGTTGGGGCCTAGGAGCTCGGAATGAGTGCGTCCTACTCCATTGACTGTTAGGCCACGCCCCCCTCAACAATATTTTAATCCAAACTTAAAGATTGCAGTTTATTGATAAGCCTTCTATGTGCAACAGTGTCAAAAGCCTTACTGAAATCTAGGTAAGCAATGTCTACTGCACCACCCTGATCTATAATTTTAGTTACCCAATCAAAAAAATCAATAAGATTAGTTTGGCATGATCTCCCTGAAGTAAACCCATGTTGTCTCTGATCTTGAAATCCATGTGTTTTTAGATGTTCATCAATCCTATCCTTTAACATGGTTTCCATCACTTTCCCCACTACTGAAGTAAGGCTTACTGGCCTATGGTTGCCCGACTCCTTTTTTTGTTCTGTATTTACAGTAGAAAATGAAGGAAAGGGACCTCAGTTGAGAAAAAGGATAAATGAGTCATTTATTACACGTGAGTTTACAGAGGAAGAGGTTCTATTTCAACTGTCAAAAGTAAAGACAAATAAGTCAATGGGACCTGATGGAATACACCCAAAGCTATTAAAAGAGCTAAGTGGTGTACTAGCAAAACCATTAACAGATTTATTTAACCAATCATTGTTAACAGGAGTAGTCTCAGAAGATTGGAAGTTAGCGAATGTTGTGCCCATTAACAAGAAAGGTAATAGGGAGTCGGGCAACTATAGGCCAGTAAGCCTTACTTCAGTAGTGGGGAAAGTGATGGAAACCATGTTAAAGGATAGGATTGTTCAACATCTAAAAACACATGGATTTCAAGATCAGAGACAACATGGGTTTACTTCAGGGAGATCATGCCAAACTAATCTTATTGATTTTTGATTGGGTAACTAAAATTATAGATCAGGGTGGTGCTTACCTAGATTTCAGTAAGGCTTTTGACACTGTTGCACATAGAAGGCTTATCAATAAACTGCAATCTTTAAGTTTGGATTCAAATATTGTTGAATGGGTAAGGCAGTGGCTGAGTAACAGGCAACAGAAGGTTGTAGTTAATGGAATATATTGGAAGCTTGGACTTGTCACCAGTGGGGTACCTCAGGGATCTGTACTTGGACCCATTCTCTTTAATATTTTTATTAGTGATATTGCAGAAGGTCTTGATGGTAAGGTATTTCTTTTTGCTGATGATACTAAGATATGTAACAGGGTTGATGTTCCAGGAGGGATAAGTCAAATGACAAATGATTTAGGTAAACTAGAAAAATGGTCAGAATTGTGGCAACTGACATTTTAATGTGGATAAGTGCAAGATAATGCATCTTGGACGTAAAAACCCAAGGGCAGAGTACAGAATATTTGATAGCGTCCTAACCTCAACATATGAGGAAAGGGATTTAGGGTGATTATTTCTGATGACTTAAAGGTAGGCAGACAATGTAATAGAGCAGCAGGAAATGCTAGCAGAATGCTTGGTTGTATAGGGAGAGGTATTAGCAGTAGAAAGAGGAAGTGCTCATGCCATTATACAGAACACTGGTGAGACCTCACTTGGAGTATTGTACACAGTACTGGAGACCGTATCTCCAGAAGGATATTGATACTTTAGAGAGAGTTCAGAGAAGGGCTACTAAACTGGTTCATGGATTGCGGGATAAAACTTACCAGGAAAGGTTAAAGGATCTTAACATGTATAGCTTGGAGGAAAGGCGAGACAGGGGGATATGATAGAAACATTTAAATATATAAAGGGAATCAACACAGTAAAGGAGGAGACTATATTTAAAAGAAGAAAAACTACCACAACAAGAGGACATAGTCTTAAATTAGAGGGACAAAGGTTTAAAAATAATATCAGGAAGTATTACTTTACTGAGAGGGTAGTGGATGCATGGAATAGCCTTCCAGCTGAAGTGGTAGAGGTTAACACAGTAAAAGGAGTTTAAGCATGCGTGGGATAGGCATAAGGCTATCCTAACTATAAGATAAGACTAGGGACTAATGAAAGTATTTAGAAAATTGGGCAGACTAGATGGGCCGAATGGTTCTTATCTGCCGTCACATTCTATGTTTCTATATGTTTCTATGTTTCCTCCCTATTACCTTTCTTGTAAATGGGCACAACATTAGCTAACTTCCAATCTTCTGGGACTACTCCTGTTAACAATGATTGGTTAAATAAATCTGTTAATGGTTTTGTTAGTACACCACTAAGCTCTTTTAATAGCTTTGGGTGTATTCCAACAGGTCCCATTGACTTATTTGTCTTTACTTTTGACTGTTGAAATAGAACCTCTTCCTCTGTAAACTCACGTATAATAAATTACTCATTTATCCTTTTTCTCAACTGAGGTCCCTTTCCTTCATTTTCATCTGTAAATACAGAACAAAAATATTCATTGAGGCAGTCAGCTAGACCTTTATCCTCTTCTATATACCTTCCTTCTTTTGTTTTTAATCTAACTAATCCTTGTTTTACTTTTCTTTTCTCATTTATGTATCTAAAAAATGTTTTATCCCCTTTTTTACTGACTGTGCTATTTTCTCTTCTGTGTGTGATTTTGAAGCTCTTATAACTTGCTTAGCCTCTTTCTGCCTAATCTTATAGATCATTTTGTCTTCCTCACTCTGGGTTTTTTTATAATTCCTAAATGCTAACTTCTAAAAGTTTTGTTTTTGTGTGGTGTGACTCAGTCACTGTTCTTATATTAAACCACACTGACTGATGATCACTGGATCCTAAACTTTCACCTACAGTAATATCTGATACCAAATCTCCATTTGTTAACACTAAATCTAGTATGGCCTCTTTACGAGTTGGCTCCTCAACAACTTGTTTTAGAGACAATCCCAGTAGGGAGTTTAGAATATGTGTGCTCCATACATTCATAATGACATGCAGACATACATACACTGACATTCATACACACATAATGACATGCATACATATACACATACAGACAGACATACAGATAGACAGACATTCATACAGACAGACATACACTGACATTCATACACACATAATGACATGCATACAGATAGACATACATGCATACATACATGCATATAGACATACATACATTCATACAGATACTGACATCCATACATACATAATGACATGCATACATACACACAGACTTACAGATAGACATACATTCATACTGGCATACATACATTCATACAGACAGACAGACAGACAGACACACACACACACTGACATGCATACAGATAGACATACATGCATACAGATAGACATACATACAGACATACAGACAGACATACATACACTGACATTCATACACACAATGACATGCATACAGACATACATACAGACAGACATACATTCATACATGACATGCATACATACAGACAGACAGACATAGACATACATACATACAGACAGACATACATTCATACAGACAGACATACATTCATACATAATGACATGCATACATATAGACAGAAACATACATACATACAGAGAGACATACATACAGACAGACATACATTCATACATAATGACATGCATACATACAGACAGACATTCATACAGACATACATTCATACATAATGACATGCATACATATAGACAGAAACATACATACATACAGAGAGACATACATACAGACAGACATACATTCATACATAATGACATGCATACATACAGACAGACATTCATACAGACATACATTCATACATAATGACATGCATACATATAGACAGAAACATACATACATACAGAGAGACATACATACAGACAGACATACATTCACACATAATGACATGCATACATACAGACAAACATACAGACATACATGCATACAGACAGACATAGACATACATACATTCATACAGACACACACACACACACACAGCTCATTTTCCAGCCACCCTCCTGTTTCTTACCTTGTCTTTGCAGGAGGGTGGCTGGCTGGGGCTGATGGGACTGGGAGTTGGCTGGCTCTCCCTCTTCATTGGCGGGCGCGCGCTCCTCCCGCGCGGAGTGAGCTGGGAGGAAGTGACCACTTCCTCCCAGCAGCACTTGCGCTGTGGAGACATTTATTTTTTTAGAAGGGGCCCGGTCGCGCTATACCATGGCCACAGCGCTGACCGGGCCCCTGAAGATATTGGGCCCACTGGGTGGCCCTAAGTGCGCGGGCCACCCGATGGGCCGCATCAGCGTGCGGGCCCTGGTGCAACTGCACCGGCGGCAGTTACGTCGCTACACGTGGGGCCCGTTATGGTTGTCACCCCCTGATGGCGGCCCTGGCTCTGCCTCCTACAGTCTCTCTCTGCTAAGCACGGGTAGAGGATAGGGAGGGCAGGGAGTGTGCAAGCTGTGTCA